CGACCTTTATTTACAATTATTTTACCTTCCTAACCAGCCTTTTTCATCTCAGCCTGTATTGGGCTCTTTTATTCCTGTACACACAAATCTGCAGCATCTTTGTTAATTGGCTCTATCCATATGGTCTTTGGCCTTTCACGTGGTCTGTTGCTTATTAATGGAGCATTTCGCGTTGAGACTTCCTGGTGGATTGTTCCAATTCATTACATGTATGTATTTCCATAAATGGAAGGGAATTAAAAAACGAATTGTAAGGAGTCAAACCGTTCGGTAATAATACTTCAGTATTATTCTCTCAAATTCCTTTAGCTTCAAACAAACATAAAATATAAAGAAACATTTATGCAAAATCTAGGCGTGTATCGAAACGTAGAATATGATTATTGTCTGTATGTATTGTATGCGGCAAACAAGTTTTAATATTTTGCGTAAAAACTTGTCACAATTAGTTCACTTTTCCTGACTTGATAAAGCTACAGTTTCTTACAACCTTCCACATCCCTTTACAACTTATTTTAGCAAATATGTTCAATCCAAAATTTTTCGATTACGTATTTATAATACTAAAACGATTGCAATACTTGGACGAAATTTTAATAATTGATTTGTTTTGGATCAAGAAACTAGAATCTATCTATTATTTTTTCTTGCCATATTTGTAACATTTGTCTGTTTTGTTGATATATTCATAGTTTTCCTACATCTGCACCTATGGTGTGTTGGATATGTTGTTATTAGGCAAATTATTTAGCAGAATCTTTGGGTTATAAAGAGACTAATTGGACTGGATGATTCTTTCAATTATCCTCTGAATCAGAGACTTCGAAAGATTATCTTTGATGTGACCATCTAATGGTATGAAGAGAAAGAACAACGGATACAATCTAATTTCAAAATGTTGTGTTGACTATGTTTCGGGTGAATAAGTGAAATAACAACGGAAAATTTACAAGTTAATTAAACTACAAAATAATCCATAAAACTAACTTTATTCTATCCATCCTATCTATATATGTTTATAGATAACGTATATCCTATATATTATTACTTTGTTTGATCTGGATTTTGATGTGTGGTTTTCCCTTATCTTGAGAACTTATTTGTTTGAAATGTACCATTATTTCCTCGACAGGCAGGAAAACGCCTCTGCCCTGGATACAAGGCTTCCTAATCTGAACTGACGACACACAAAATACAAGAGTTTATGTCATAGCTGGCACCGCTAAGTTGCGAAACAAAGTTGTTGGAGTTGCTTACGTCAATGTTGTTGTTTACATAGTTTTGTTCGTGGTTGGATACTTTACGAATAACTATTTAGTAATTTAATAAAGTTTCCCCCATAGGATATTAAATAAACAAGCATGCATTGTAAGTATTCAATGTTATTGTATACTAAATTAATTGGAAATTTTATTTATTATCATAACTATCGATATTCCTGTCGAAAAATATTATAATCTGTTTTTACGTCATAATATCTACAGTGCTAAAATATTTTAGTATAGACTAATTTCAATGTCTTCCACATCACCGTCACTCTCTTTCTATCCTTTATTAATTACTAAATTAATCCTAATCCTTAATTCTATTTTTTCATTTTAGCATATCTTTGTATTCCATATTTGGATTCAGTAGTAGCAGCGGTCGTATTAGACATGCTGAAATTCACTTATATCATTAACGTTATTAAATTTAATCACAGTTTTCTTAGCGCGAATTTTGTTTAATTTACGATGGCGTACTTAGAATTTAATTATCTCAAATAGGTTTTGAGGAATTCCTTCTTATTCAATAAAAAACGTGGCCATCTTAAGAAAAACATTAACTTTGTCTCAACACCTTTTCCGTTTGGAATTGGCCCATGCATCAGATTTACTTTTTTGTTTCAAATTGTGTCCAGAATTTCCTAGAATATATTTTAGGTTGCTAAAATACATAGAATAGAATAGAATAGAAAAATAATTTTATTCTGGGACACAGTCCCTTGAGAATAACAAAATAGAACAAAATATAAAGATTACATCTGGCCAAAACTATAGACTTAATAGAGTAGTTCCAAATTGTCCATTTTGAAATTGAAATACAAAATTAAGGTTTAGGATTAATTATCCCAGTCCGCTGGTGTTCCTCAAGGTAGTATCCTAGGTCCTATCCTCTATACAATTAATACAGCTGACATCCCTACCTATCCCAACACTGTCATCACCACATATGTACAGTAAATAATGACCTATCAATTGCATCCCAAATGCCTCAATCACACATCATAAATCTTGAAGAATGGCGTCAAAACTGGAGAATTAAAATAAACTCCAATAAATCCCACCAAATTAACTTTAACCTTCGTTGTAAACCAACGACTTCCTGTCCTGCAGTTACCATTAACAATACTCCACTTATCCCTGTTGAGCAAATCCGATACCTAGGACTCCACCTGGACACACGACTAACTTGGAATCCTCATACTAGACTACTAGACTGAAACGACAAGAAACCGCACGACGTTTCCGATTACTTTAGCACTTACTATACAAACGCTCTAAACTTCCAATTAATTGCAAAAGACTCATATACTTGACTATAACAAGGCCTATTTGGACTTACGGAGTTGAGCTATGGGGCTCCACTAAACCATCTAATTTCTATCGTATCCAATCCTTGCAATCCAAAATCCTTCGTAAAATGCTCAATGCTACCTACTCTGTTACAAATAAAAGCATCCATAATGACCTTAATGTTTCTTTTGTTTCAGATCTGGCCCAATCCAGATACCTGTCCTTCCATAATAAACTTCAGAATCATCCCAACCCTCTCGTTTCTAACCTTGCTTCCTCTTCAATTCCTGATAACCCTCCGAGGCGTCTGAAAAGAAGATGGCCCCGTGATCTCCTAATGTAGACATATCATTAGAGTGCTACCATTGGGTAGTTACTCAGCAAGTGTTTTCATGTCATTATATCCATTATGTTCAAATTTACTAGATGTATTTATTTAATACAGTGGTAAATATCATTAAGAAATAATAAAAAAAGGGTTAATTAGAATATGTAAGGTTATGTCAGCAAGGATTGATCATGTGTCTAAGGCTGTTCAAGTATAGTCAGAAAGTAGATATCCTCCCATTAATCCTCGGCCTGGAACCGCCAATTCGTATCTATTGATGTTTAATTTTTGTTATGCAAAAATATTATAATTGTAACTGTCATTTTAATGCACCCCGTATTACGGCAATCACAATGGATTACAGGGTCTGCCATATAGTTTATAAAAGCAGATGTGTAACATTTCCGTGGTTTTCTATGAACAAATTATCCTTTCACGGACACACCATCATCCAGTGGTCGGGATAAACAAGAACTGACCCCGGAATCAGAAAAACGGAAGCCCAGGGCTGGATCGCCATCGAATCCGGATCTGCAAAAACAGAGGAGCAGATGTGGAGCAGGAAACGACTCACATCCATCAGTGGATTGACTCCATTCCAAAAACCTTCACAATGGCCACCAATCCTCTAATGCCGGGTAGCCCCGACCTGCTTTTTTTTTATTGGTCGACCAATAACTCACCCTTAGTGGATAGTTTAAATCACGCGGTTGACCTGGACCAATGAAAGGTCGTTTATAAAGTCAAAAACGATTTATGGGGATGTAGCTTATTGAACTGATTCATTTCCACAACTGTCTGAGTTATGAACCCCATATTTCTTAAGGTATTTTACATCTTTACTCCTCATTAATGCTTAAATGAGTTCATTGTTATAGCTTTATATTAGTCCAAGAGCCTGTGTTATAAAGGTAACTCATTTCATACTAAAGTTTGACTTTATAACTTGACAGTGTCTCCAGACCTGATTAGAAAAATGCATATCTGCCAGCATACAGCCACTGGAATAGAAAATGTCGGCAATGTGAATATAGTTAAAGAGCCCATATAGAAACTATAAATATAAGGAGAGAGCATATATATATATATATATATATATATATATATATATATATATAGAAAACTACCAACATATTAAACTTATAATATTTATTGTCCTAAGAAATGAAATAATAGTCAGTTACCACAAACCCAGAGATTTCCCGAGAATTCAGTAATAGACTATAAGTGACAAACTAAATATTTCTGATCCTAATATTTAGGTATTCATGAAATCATTAGATAGAAATCAAAAGATTTCTTCATTAATATAACGTACATATTAGGACTTTTTTTTTTTTTTAATCTGTTTATTGAATAATAATACAATCAGCCACTGCTGGAGGGCTATAAGCATTAGGGCTACAAGTTCTCATTCATACAATATATACAAATAATAAAGAAATAAATATAAATATAATAAGTAAATAAATAATACGATATTAGGACTAGATACATTTATTTCGTCACTTATAAATACGGACCAATTCATATGTGTATATATATATACATATATATATATATATATATATATATATATATATATATATATATATATATATATATATATATATACATATATATATATATATATATATATATATATATATATATATATATATATATATATAAAAATCTTTTTATATAGAAATAACACATTTTGTCACACTTATGGTCACTGAGTACTACAGCCGAGTGAGGCACATTCATACCAAATTTATACAATAGAGATCTGATTGAAGATTTATATAATCACTTTACATGAAAAGTTATTGTTTTTACTATTATTTTTAAATAATAAAAATATATTTAGGCAATTATATTTAATACAGTACATTCCAGATAAACAAAAACAATAAATAATCGCTTTCTGATAAACAAACATTTGGAGTTCTCAACGTCAAAGAGGCCGCGGATCTCCACTTATGGTCGCTTTGAGTAAGTTTTGTAGCTAAATAGGATCTTTATCTATATTTACCTGACCACCATTTTGTATTTCTCAGACAAATGGTCATATTATATGGCCGAATCTTATTATGAAATGAGTCAGCTTTTTTTGCCACGGCGCCCTAACATGTGGATAAACTGCTTTGTTGAAATTATATTTTGAATTTATATTACGTAATGTGTTATCTTCATTGAATATGTTACAAAACGTTTAAAAATAATAATGAAATCTAATTTTATTAATAATGAAATTTGAAGAAACATATCAAATCAGCAGTTTCCGGTGAAGATGATGACAAATATGCAGAAAACAAATGAGAAAGTAGAAAAAATAGTATGTCTACGACTTACACCTTACGAAAACCTTTTATCCCTAAAGTTTCTAGAACTTTTCTATGTACTTGAAGTAAACCAAGACGTTTTTATCACTAAATTCAGAATTGGCTGCAACTGACACATGTGTTCCTCATCGATAAGCTACAAGCTACAGCTGACAATTTGCCCTATGCTGTAAGGCTATCCACGAAATGATAGCTTTGTTTTCAATTTGGGAATCGAAAGAAACCTCAAAACTATTTTGGGAGTTAACAACATCCATATAGAACCAATTAACAATTTGCTAAAAAAAAAGTTTAATAAGAAAAAAGTGATAAGGAAAAAGTAATTTAAAGAAGGATACTAAAGACTTGAGATGTTGAGTATCTATAAGGAAAATAAATCTAACCCTTGAAGTAATCTGAAAAGTATTACTGAGAAATGCGAGTTTTATTTTAATGTAAGTAAAAATGTTTTTTGAGCTTTATCTTGATATACCCTTTTGGCTTAGTGGGTGCTACCGGCAAATAAATGAAATTAAAATAAGAAAATTTGATAAAAATAAATATATTCAAAAATTTTTATAAGGGTAAAAATTAATGAATGATAATCTCGGTAAAGTAAAAGTATAAATAAACTTGCTCTTGCAATACATGAGCTCGATTGATCATTCATTACCATAATACATTCGTCCCTGTCACTAGCAGACATTATGGACGGATCAGAATAAAGAAAGAACAAAGGACAAAGAAGTGGTCCAAAGCGAAGAGAGCTGTACCTGGCTTTAGTTGATCTCGGTTGAGAAATTCAATTCAATTTTTCAATTCCAACCCCTTCCATCGGAAGCGATTGTCCAATTCTTCTTTGTCCTCAATCGGTCTCTATTCCTCTCACTCGTCCCGTCTCTTCAGCTCTTGTTCAGTTCTGTCTTGCGGCCAACGATTTATTATGATTTATTTTCCTTATGTTCAATTACATTACTTTTTGAAGGTTATGACAGCTACTTTAACAAATAACATTATTGAAAACCATTCTTTGATATTATGTGTATAACTAATTTCCTGTAAAGTACCAACTTTTGATCAATTTAATATTTCAATAGCATTTGAGCTTTTTCTGAGTTAATAAGGTCTAAAATAAATAGTTTATAAAATATCAATGTATACCTAGACTTTTCATTTACATTCCATGCAATTTTCACCTGCGCGGCAGCGCATCTAGCAAATTTGGTGCATTTGTTTGATTCTGTTTTTATATATATCCTAGGTCTCTTGGCCGTTTCCTTTTTAATCTGCGTCTAATTGGGAGCAGAAGGTAGAAAGGACCTGAGAATTGGTGTGATTTTTAGTTGAAGAATGAAATGTAGTGTATTTGTCGTGGATCTAGGATTTTACTGTTGGGGTATTTAAGTCGTTATGTATATTGTTATTTGAAATGTACCCAATCACAACTTATTAAGTAATAAACCCTCAACTTAATTTATATAGACTTACAGCTTATAAAATATGTATTTTTTTCTAAATGTGGGATACCTTTAGTATAGTTTTAGGAAAAAAAAAAAAAAAACGTAAATAATTAATGATTTTTTTTTTTTAAACAGAACTGGGATTATTGATTTAACAGCAGAAACACCTTCTTTAAAAGATGTTAACAATGATAAACTGTTGAACAAAAGTCGTTATAAAATTTATAGGAAATTTTGTATAGTTTACAGTGAAGCAATAATCAATTATTTAAATTAATTGTTTCTTTAGTTATCCGTTACTATTCGACACAAAACATGACTTGCTGAAAAAAAACACAAAACTTAAATTTTCGGCTTTTCTGCCAAAAATTGGACCAATATTTATATAAATTTTTTTGTTGCTCTTCTGCTATAAGTCATATAAATATTTCTCTCTACTTGCGGGACACCTTGTATGCATATATATATATATATATCCATTTGTAATTAGGTGAGGAATTTACAATCTAGTACTTAATAGTTCTTTGAAATGTGACAAAGCTAAGACAAATCCATTCCCTTCACTGACATTTGTTAGATTATAAATGCAAATTTTTTGCTGTTAGGTCCTTGGGTGAGGACACCCTCGTGATTTGTCGACCGGACAGCTAATCAACTTCTACATGCAAAATACTCCTTGACAAATCCCCTCGGGAAGGCATTGACGTCTGAACCGAAGAACCAATCCGGCTCGGGTCTCCAGTAATTTGGGACGTTGCTTAAGTCAGACAAATGGTCCAGATGAATCAAGTCCAATCTCGCGGCTCCATTTCTCTTCTTGCTCCTTGGCAAGAGTTCTCTTAATCGTCCTAAAGATTTATCCTCTATCCACGGCCATCCCCTCAGTATTCCTCCCTGTTATTTTGCTCTCTACTAATTACTTATTAACGAGTCCTTCTTTATGATCTAACGGTAAGATTAAAATCTAAGTTTGGATATTCTGAACTGTAAAGATGGATTGGTTGGATGGTTTTATGTATTCAAAAGACAGAGTTAATCGATGGCAAGAAATTTAACAAATTGTGAGGGAGTAATTCGAAGACCTATATCACTTTTAACTAGGCCATTTTTTGTCTATAACAACTAAAATATGTAAATGTGCCGAAAACCCAATACGCAAATCTATAATAAATATCTCAGAAATAAACATAATTACTGACGTAATATGAGGTTATTAAACAGCAAAACTGTTTAACTTAATTTATAGGTAGACAAAGCCTTTTTTGTCAAATTTTTAACCCTTGTGTAAAACTTTGTGAGAAGTTTCATTTAACCGTAACCTTTAACTTTTTTAACTATGAAATTTCTCAAAATAGTGGGTTTTCTGGTTAAATTTGAGTTATTTACTGAATACCCATGAATGCCCGCTGGTTTTCAGTTAAATCTTGAGATAATTTGATCAAAAATTTGAGAAAAAAATGTTTCTTACAACTATATTGCACCGTATGTTCTATAAAACATAGTTATTTTGACTTGTTAGGCTGGCCATATCAGCCAAAGCTACCCAATATTTTTGTAAATTGCCTTTTTCTCTAAGATGACATAAAACCATCATAGAAATTAACACGTAGAATATATCAGAATTGGTAAAGACTGTCCAATTTCTATGACGAAATCATGATGCGAATGTTAATTGAATTTGAGATTGACAAAAATCTCAATTAAATTTACAAAGCCTGTTATTTTTAATTCTATTTAAAGTAAAGTTTTTTTCTATATCTATATCTTGTGTTCTATTATTATTTGTTTCTCACTCGAAATAGTTTGTGAATAAAAAATACATAATTTTCAAAATGGTTTCCGAAAATTACATAACTCGCCTCCCCTTTCTTTTCAAAGTGTGCACCTATGTCTACTATTGCTTTGTTTCTTTAGAATGGCATTTAGACTAGCAACTAAACTTGAAAAAGAAAGAGGAAAACTTTGCTATAAAGTCGACCATCGTAAAAAGGTTTTTAGCAGAATAGGATTAATATATCTCAACTATCTTCCTTTCGAAGGACCGCTGTTTAAAATTCTAAAAGTCGAACTCTCAACTCAATTTTACCTAATGAATCAATTTTACCCTATTCTTCTGTTCTTTTTTTTTTTCATACTGGGCATGCTCAGGGCTCTTCATCGGATAAATTGGAGAATTATTTATTCATGTTTTAAATAAAATTTTGACATAAATAGTATTGATTTGTACTATAAATTTTATTTAAAATTTTTTTATAACATGTAAAAATACAATAGAAAAGGTTAATAAGCTCTCAGTCGACAAATTGGTGATAAGAGGATTCCGTTTAAGATGGTCTTACACGGACGCTGAGTTGAAATGGCGGTCGGTTGATGGAAGTTTAGACAGAGATTGGTGGTATCGGCATCTAATCTTCGGGCTCGATAGCCTCTGATTATTTGTTTATTTTATACAATAAAAATATTTGATTTTTTTTTCCAATTTTAATGTTGAATTATATTTTTTATAGAATACATTTTTTGTTGTTCAACATCGTATTATATATAATAATTTTTTTTTTTTTGGTTTAATTTTTTTATTCACACCTGTCATAGTGGTAATGACAACCAGTGAATGTGAGGTCGTTGGAAATAATAATGGCATGAAAGGCATTACGAGGATCAGTGCCTCAGCGGCACCTCACTCGGCGTGATATCTACATTAGACGAGGAGGTCCCTCATCCAGCTCCTCTTCAGTCTCCTACAGACGTTACCTAGTATATTCTTAGTGGCCATGTAATTTATAAGTGTATTAGGATGTCCTTGTAAGTTGTCATGAAATCATTTGTAATGAGTTCGTATGTGTTCGTTAACAGTCGGCATATGGAGGTCAGCATGTAAGGTTATGTTGCTAACGTACCAAGGTGCTTTTGTAATTGTTCTGAATGTTTTTGCTTGAATGATTTGGAGTTTGCTTAGGTGAGTCTTTTTAGCAGTTCCAAATATCTGTGATGCGTAAGTCCAAGTAGGTTTTAGTAAGTAATTGTATGTGTTCACTTTCAGTCTAAGTTTTAGTTTTGAATTTTTCGAAAGAAATGAACTCAGAATTCTTAATCTTTGATTTTCGTTTGGTTTTTTTTTATATAGTAAAATAACAAGATATAATTAAAAAAAATAATCATTATATATTGTAGGTGATAAATATTATTCAGGACGCAGTCATCATCAGAGAGTGTTTCGAGGACTGATGATGACCACATGTTTGGGTTGAAACGTCGGCACTAATAAAAACTTTATAATGACTGCGTCCTGAATATTTATCTCCCATGATATCTAGAACAATCGACTAACTTCTTCCAATTATATATTGTATTATTTATCAAAGATGTTTATTGTCGGTAGGCCATATCAATGTAAATATTTCATCATATCTAATTAATGAGCCATCTATTTTAATATTATATTCTTCTTCATATGTGAAAAATAAGCATATCCTCCGGAAGTATCAGGAATAAAGTTATGAATAAAAGGACATTTTATTTGCGCGGAACTCAAAAAGTGTACAATTTATGTTCAATTATAACCGCAGTGATTAGAAAGGTAGCACTACCCCAAGCCCCCAAGATAATCGGGGCTCTCTGGGATCACATTACTGTTCCACGGAACAAGAAATTGGTCCATCGATATCACTTGTTATGCAGGTTAGTAGATTAAGATGGCTGAGGCATATGGCTCGAATCTAGCCATCAATAAGTCTCTACGGAACAATCATTGCTCCATTATTAAGCAAAAGACTATGCGGAAGGCCATGAACCAGATGGATAGATCGAATCATCAAAAATGCTGTAATAATGCATCCAGATAACTGTAAAGAAATAGTCCAAGATATACAGAGTTGGAGATAGTTGGTTGAGATAGGCGAAAGGTCTGTTAAGTCAAAAAAATCTGTTAAGCCAATAGAAAATATAATAATTTCCGAATTCCCTACATACCTTAAGAAAGAAATTGTCCTTAGCCA